ATGGAAGAGCCAAAATTGCTGGTACGGGGGGTCTTTCCTACAATTTGAAGAACCGATTAGCAAACTCACCCAATGGAATTTATACAAAGAACCATGCGCCAGCTAGATTGTTATCCAACAGTGAGAACAACATGTTCGCTGTGGGTGGTTTTGTTGGGACTTCATTCAACTACTACAGGCGACTCAATGCTCCTAGTGATAAACATGCTAGACAGGAGAAACTTAAGATTGAGGTCACCAATGCCATTTTATCCGATGATGGATTGTCTATTGATGTGGGTAAGTCAAGAGATCGTACCACAAGCAGTGTAAATGGTGAAAGTTTGTTGAACCTTCTTAGAGATATTCACAAGTCCTAGAAGCTGTCACGAAGAGTTGACAGAAAAGTCAAAAATATTATCATGTATATACGTATTTACAAGCACAATCAAATAGTAAAGTCTCTGAGTAGAACAGCAGTGGCTACGCTGACATTCAAACTATCCACAGAAGAATCTAGATCCTTCCGCTGACCTTTCAACGAAACTAGAAAGGAACTTCTATCCAGCAGTGACTTTCTAATACCATCACCTTCTGAGCCGACTATCAACAAACATGGCTGCTCTAATAGAGTGGGCGACAACTCCTCTGACAATAACTCTCTATCGGCATGCTTCTTAGCGACAGAACTTACAGCTGCTACGGTAGCCCAACCGTTCTCGTTTGCTGTCTCTAAAAATTGCAGAGGTTTCACCACGTTGAAAATGGGCAAGAATTCCATGCATCCCGCGGAGGACTTAGAAGCCACAGAATTCAACGGTGCACAGTTCTTCTCTGCAATAGCAACAAAATCGGCCCCCAGGTAATATGCAGACCGAATAATTGCACCCAAATTATGAGGATCTGACACTCCGTCAATGTAAACCCCCAAGGGATATTTTCCATTCAGCCTTTGCACCTCAAGCTGTTCTTCAGATCTTACGCCATAATCCTGTAAAGTCAAACTGAACACACCTTCAGACGTGACTCTAGATAGAGCTGCCAGCTCCCTAGTCTGAAACTTCGCTGCCTTCAAAACATATCCATTGTGGACGTTATTGTTGCACAGCAGATTCAGATCATTTTTACTGTCCACCAGCTTAATGTCCACTCCCCTCTGTTTACAGAGTTCAGTTATTTCTTCGTGTTTGTCCTTTGGATTATGCACATACAATGTGCTTAAGAATTCTCTATTGTTGGCCTTTAGCGCAGCCAATACTGCCTGGGCCCCAAATATCCGTTCTTCTAATGGGTTCTCCTTTGGGGGTCTATTCCTCCTAATCTGTTTGGAATCTGGACTCAATTCAGGATTTTTCGACGCAGATTTTTGAGCCCTTGCGGCCTCTTTGTCTTGTCTGACCTGCTTTTGTTTGGCGTGCACATGAGCATACTTCCTTCTAAACCATGTGTCCTTGTCCTCACCATCTTTTTCCCATGCCTTCACCCTGCTATTATTCGGCATGTTTCTGTTAAAACTGATGGATTTTCCACCAGATACTATCCTATCGTTGTCGAAATTCTTGAAAGGTGCTCGTATCAGCGCAGATTTACTCCAACTGAATCGCCTGACTCCGTTCAAACGGAGCACGCTAAGTCGATTCATGCTGAAGAGTTACTTTTTGATAGTGAAGTTCTTTCTTTAGCGAAAGCAGGTCCTGGAAGGGCCTGGATCTCCTGCTAAACTCTCGCTCCAGAAGGGGAAAAGTGAAAAAAAAAAAAAATGAGAAAATCTATGACTCCCCCTCTCTTCGTTTCGACAGACTAGAATGACAGGAGAACATAAACGAAGTTCCCTCATTAAGAGGATCACAAACGAGACTAAAATCCAAATAGCTCTCAGTCTGGACGGTGGACCTGTGAGCCTGGCCCAATCATTGTTCAAAGATAAGGACTATTCTGCAGAACATGCAGCCCAGGCAACATCATCCCAGTTCATCTCTGTGAACACAGGAATAGGATTCCTGGACCATATGTTACATGCACTTGCTAAGCACGGCGGCTGGTCTGTCATTATCGAATGTGTAGGTGATTTGCACATTGATGACCATCATTCAGCAGAAGATACTGGAATCGCACTGGGGATGGCATTCAAGGAAGCCCTGGGCCATGTTCGTGGTATCAAAAGATTTGGGTCTGGGTTTGCTCCTCTAGACGAAGCTCTCAGTCGGGCTGTCATTGATATGTCTAACAGACCATATGCTGTTGTCGATCTGGGCTTGAAACGAGAGAAGATTGGAGACCTCTCGTGCGAGATGATCCCCCATGTTCTGGAAAGTTTTGCCCAGGGAGCCCATGTAACGATGCACGTTGATTGTCTGCGAGGTTTCAACGACCACCATCGTGCCGAGAGTGCATTCAAAGCTTTAGCTATAGCTATAAAGGAGGCCATTTCAAGCAACGGCACGGACGACGTTCCAAGTACGAAGGGTGTTCTTTTCTGAGTTTGGGAGGTGCCTTCATCTGTGAATTCCGTATTTATTTAAGCAAACAGTCAATATTATAAAATCTAAGTTAGTAGTTCTACCTAAAGTCGGTATCGGTCGTGTGAACAATAGTTCAGTGCCTTTGATTGTGCCTTATTGTTGTGGATGCATTTTCGCGCGGAAATTTCTATTTCTGTTCGGGGCTGAGATGATCTTAGTACTCACATCAGCCAGTTCGTTCAAAGTACCCACATGACCACTCAATGTTTAGTTCCTTGGCACCCATGAGGTTGAAGAAGCTACTTAAGTTGTTCTGTGCCTCTGTAGTGCTGTTCGCAGCGACATCTGTGGTGCTATATTTCCACTTTGGAGGTCAGATCGTAGTCCCCATTGGGGAACACACGGTGACATTAACTACCCCTGCAAACGATACCTGGCAGTTTCAACAGTTCTTCAACGGCTATTTGGAAGCGGTGCTAGAGAACAATTTGTCATATCCGATACCAGAAAGGTGGGACCATGAGGTTACAAATGTAAGACAGTTTAATCGAATAGGTGAACTACTCTCGGAGAGTAACCTGGAGGACCTGATCCATTTTAGTCCTGAGTTCATAGAGGATACCAGTGACAAATTCGATAACATTGTTGAACAGATTCCGGCTCAATGGCCTTACGAAAACATGTACAGAGGAGACGGATACGTTATTGTTGGTGGTGGCAGACACACTTTTTTGGCACTGCTAAATATCAACGCTTTGAGAAGAGCCGGCAACAAACTTCCAGTTGAGGTGATGTTACCAACTTTTGACGACTACGAAGAGGACTTCTGTGAAAATCATTTTCCACTTTTGAATGCAAGATGCATAATTTTGGAAGAACGGTTTGGTGACCAGGTTTATCCCCGGTTGCAGCTAGGAGGATACCAGTATAAAATATTTGCGATAGCAGCAAGTTCGTTCAAGAACTGCTTTTTGCTAGATGCCGACAATTTACCCTTGCGAAAGTTGGATAAGGTATTCTCAAGCGAACTATACAAAGATAAGACAATGATTACTTGGCCAGACTTTTGGCTGCGAAGCACTAATCCCCAGTATTACCACAACGTCACCAAGACCACTATCGGTGATAAAAGAGTACGATATTTCAACGATTTCTACACGAATCCAGACGAGTACTATTACGGAGATGAGGATCCTAAATCAGAGATACCCTTGCACGATAGGGAGGGCACGATACCTGAATGGACCACAGAAAGTGGACAGTTGGTTATAAATAAAGAAGTACATTTCCCTGCGATTCTTCTAGGCCTTTTTTACAATTTCAATGGACCTATGGGCTTCTACCCTCTTCTCTCCCAAGGCGGAGCCGGAGAAGGAGACAAAGATACATTCGTTGCAGCTTCGCACTACTACAATCTCCCGTATTACCAAGTCTACAAGAACTGTGAGATGCTGTACGGCTGGGTTGATCATGCTAATAGGGGAAGAATTGAGCATTCTGCAATCGTCCAGTACAATCCTATCGTGGACTATGAGAACCTCCAAACTGCCAAAGCAAAGGCAGAAATTGCATTAGCAAATCACGAGCCAGATACGAAAAAACGTACAAAGCCAAAGACTTACAGCAAATCAAGGCTTTCCCCTCATGTCAAGGGCTCAATATACTCATATAGACGGCTCTTTAGAGACTCGTTCAATAAAGCCAACTCTGATGAGATGTTCTTACATTGCCATACGCCCAAGATTGAACCTTATAGGATTATGGAGGATGATTTGACACTTGGCAGAAACAAAGAAGCTAAACAACGATGGTATGGAGGAAGAAAGAATAGAATACGGTTTGGATATGATGTGGAACTTTATATTTGGGAGCTCATTGACAATTATATCTGTGACAAGAATATCAAATACAAAATTTTTGATGGCAAGGATAGAGATGCTCTTTGTGGGGGTTTCATGAGGGAGCAGTTGAAGTTTTTACGTACGACAGGGGATTAGGTTAGTATAGACTATGTATATAATCCAGGATTATTAATAAATCAAAAAAAGAGGTCGTACCCGGATTCGAACCGGGGTTGTTCGGATCAGAACCGAAAGTGATAACCACTACACTATACAACCAATTTTCCATTGGAAATTGTATTTTCTATATTTCTCCAAGGTATATGACTGCCACGTCAAGTTTTTTTCAAAGTTATAACGTCTTAGAATGTAGGCAGTCCTCTAAGATAGGTAATGCAATAGGTGGAAGCAATATTTAAGAGTGTACCGACGTAACAACCCATTATGTGTCAATCAAAAGGAATAGTAGCAGACTTTCTAGTTATCAACGGATGCCAAAGGAATTATTTTGCTTCAATGGATTGTTAATCCGGTTAGTTTCTTTTTTCGTATACCTCGTCCCAGCATAGTTATCATCTAGAATCAAATAGCCACATCATAGTTATTTCAAAAGGTCTCCTGGATGTCGAATTTAACAACATCTACACACTGGAGACGGTATATAGTTGTACTATTATCTTAGGGTATAGGCTAAAAATTACAGTCGTCTTCGAACTCGTCCTTATTAGCTCAGTTGGTAGAGCGTTCGGCTTTTAAGTCAACACAAGGAACCGAAATGTCCAGGGTTCGAGCCCCTGATGAGGAGTTCTTTTTTTAATTTTTAAATTAGTTTCTTATCAGCTAGCCGTCTAAAATATTTTTTATCTATTTACCCTTTCTCTTGCCCATCTTAGCCTCAATTAAAAGATTACTTCCTTTCTTCACCGACCTCGAGATTTGTTCTTCGTCACTCGAATCGCTGTCATCATTCTGATTTCTTTGCGAGTTCTGTTTCTCCATGTTTTCCTGACGAAACCTCCTTCTATCGTCGTTTCTCATCTTGTTTTTCAAAGATTGTATCACCTTACTGTCATCTTTAGAGACTCTGTGTCTGTTGTTGATTCTGGCCAATTTGTCATCCACCTGACTCTTCATCTTCTGTTTCTTGGTCATTGTGGAGAGGTTTTTGGTACCATTAACGAAATCGCCAATCGTGCCAATAGTACTCTCTTCATCTGCCTCGTTATTATTGGCAGAACCCAGCCCAGATCCCTGTCGTATCACCGGTAGACTCAAGAATGCGTTAGCGTAGTCCGCAGACTCGTTAGTTGTAGTCTTGTGAGGGGTTATGACCCATGAAGCCACTTTACTGTTTGATTGGCTGATGGCATACTGAAACTTGGCCTGCAGTTCATTCTTGTGCTTTATTTCTTTCCTATTAGACATTTGGATGGAAGTTCTTGCGCCCCTACTACCAGGCCTCAAGTTAGAGGGAAAAGTTTATTTTATTTTTTTTTCATCTGGGGAGACAACATCGCGAGTTGTATCCATGCCGGTGCTACAATTCATCATTCAGGACGAAGTACCTATGCATTATTTATTTGAGGATGGTAGTTCCCAGCCGCTATTGGCTGCAGTCTCCAAGATCTTACGGTCGTCAATACGTGAGCAGTTTTTCAGCAGGATTTTGGTGTACAATTCCTCGGCTTGGTCAGTCCTACCAATCTTGGTTAACTCCTTGATGAGACCAGAAACTGCATGGAAGTTGAGTTGCATCTCGTGTTCTTGAAGATACACGAACCAACGCACAGACAATTCCAGATCAGAGTGTCGGCCGGCTTCTATAATCATGTTGAACGGAGTCGATGTTAGTAGACAATATTCTATGTTGTCAGTTGACTGTTCTAGGAAATAGCTGGCTAGTTCAAGGTTTTTGAGTTTTAGTGCTTCATCTATGAATACTTTCAGAATCTTGTCTTGAAGTCTGTTGGACGAGAATGGATGTGTTCGGAGATCTAATCCTTTCAGTTTGGCGTCGTCCTCTGAACTCTGGATTTCTCTGACGGTTGAAATGTAACATTCAAACAAATCACACAGAGTACTTTCTCTCAAGCTATGGGTCTCATGGATGGAACGAAATAGTCCTATATACACATCTGCTAGTGTATAAATAGCCCCATATCGTAGTTTTTGTAACTGAGTTTTCACTATAATTTCATCATCATTGTCCTTGGACATCTGAGGCAAGTTGGAGAGCTCCCTGGAGACTGAGTTATCATAGATATAGGATAGGATCCCTAGTTTCGTTAAAAGGTCTTGCCCTTCTTTAAAAAATCTACAATAATAGCCCGTTATTGCTTTAATGTCTGAAACTCTGTGATGCCTCATCAACTTGAAGATTTGGTCGATAACAGTTGATACTGCTGTATCACTAATATCGTCACCATAAAACTTTAGTATCCGATTGACAGTAGACATGAATTCTTGAGAATCTCCCATGTTTTGAGCGTACTCCAAGTACAAGAATAAGTATTTTTCCGTTATGGGCAATCCCTTATCTTGTATGCTTTTCAGCACCATGTCTCGCTGGCTTGGGTTGAACATTAGGGTATATCTGAAAATCAAAAGGTAGTATTTGTTGGTAACGTCAATGTATTTAGAATTCGTCTCAGACCTTGACGTTTGGTATGCGAAAAGTTTTTGATTGTACAGTTCCAAGTATGCTTCACTCCTTTCCCTATTCCCTCTCTTTATGATGTTGTTGATGAGTTTATAGCACATATTGAACGAATAAATGTGCTGGATGTTATCCATTTCCTCTGTTGATAGCTTATGACTGTCCAATAGATAATTGGACTTGGGAAGGTTGGAAACCTCACTCACATATCTCCCTAAATTGTTTCCCTCTCTGAGGTCTTTGAACACTTTATTCATGACAGTTTCTTCTGGTATAAACAGCCCTGAGTATACGGCTCTGTGGAAAAACAAATGGTAAAGGTTTCTTGGAAATTTTTTGACTACCTGGAGCAGTAAGTTCTCATTGATGGTGTACTTCATCGAGGGGATTCCAGATTCTGTTCTTAACCACGACAAGTACTCCAAAAATTCCAGTATCTGTTCGCAGGTGGCATCTTTATCTAGAAGGTCGGTGAAAATCCTAGTGTTCATACTTGATCTAGACTTGAAAAAGTTCAAATCGAAATAACTTAATGCAACTTTGTTCCAAAGGGAAATATCCTTGTTGGTCATAAATGAATGGTAAAGACCAAGACGTTTTTTCGAGTCTTTGGTCGCCCAAAACGACTTGAATGCCTTTTGAAATTTTTTGTTTGTGATGAGTGCATCTAGCTTCTGTATCGAAGGACCAAACGAGTCATCTAATGCAACTTTCTTCACTTTAAAAGTATTTTCAATCTGTGAATTTCTCGCTGTGACCGTGCTAAAACACAACAAATGAGCCGGTCCAGCTGTATATAAAGGTATAGCGTACCTGCTATTGACAAAAAGCCTAAACTTTGTGGGGATTCTAGCACGTAACATAAAAACTTGATTGCATCTATGGGGATGAATTATGAGAGCTGAAATATTGAGATTTTGATATTGATTATATAATCAACATGGTAATGCTGGGCTTGGTCTTGAATTATCAATGAACTTGCCCAAGGGGAATGCTTAATTAACTATCCTTATGGAAGACACTAGCAGTTGGAAAGTAGATCCTTCGCATTTTCTGCCACTGAAACCAAAGGTGCCTTTTTGACCTTTCTAGCAAGCAAAGGCTTCCCTTCAAACTTCCTCGAAATAAGGTTTCCTATATAGTTTCTCCCCATCTTATGTTCTTCCCAGGAACACCCTTGAAATACATCCGAGTACTTCTAAATAACCCACACAAAACCTCACTCAAGAGCTCATTCCAGAGAAAGATGCATATCAAGTCAATTCCTATGAGATGGGGCACCGGAGATAACTACAGCTACCTGCTCACTGATGAACCCACGGGACATTCTTGGATAATTGATCCTGCCGAACCTAATGAAGTTCTTCCTGAATTGGAACCTTTGACTCACATTGAGCTCAAGGCAATCGTTAATACTCATCACCATTATGATCACTCAGGAGGAAACTCGACTTTTCACAAAAAGTACCCTTCTCTTCCTGTGATTGCTGGTAAGGACTCTCCTCTGGTTACGCAGACCCCGAAGAGCAATGAAACTCTGAAATTGGGCAAGAACCTCAAAATAACAGCTCTACATACACCATGTCATACTCAAGATTCCATATGCTGGTATGTTGAGGACTCAGAGTCAGGGAAGAAGGCAGTTTTTACAGGCGACACCCTATTCACTTCTGGCTGTGGCAGATTTTTTGAAGGAACGGGGAAAGAAATGGACATTGCGTTGAACAAGATCCTTGCTAGTCTTCCAGATGATACCGTCGTTTATCCAGGTCACGAGTATACTGCCAGCAATGTCAAGTTCTCCAAATCAGTGATGCCTAGCAACGATGCTTTGGCCAAACTTGATCAATTTACTTCTCAGAATGAGTTTACCACCGGCAGATTCACTATCGGTGATGAAAAACTGTTCAACCCATTTATGAGACTGAAAGATGAAGCTGTAGTTAAGGCTACCGGTATCACATCGGGCATTGATGGTGATGTCATGGATGCTTTGAGAAAAATGAAGAACAACTTTTAACGTGGTATTATTATGCACTCGTCCAACCTATTTATTTACTATTCATACTGTTAATTTGTCCATCTCTTGAATTGCGTAATCCAAGGTATAACTCTGTTCTAGAAGATCATCAATTCTGGAAAAATGACGCTCACTATATGGAATGATTCCTTCAATGAACTTGACAACTCCAGGCACTTCAATCAATTCCTTCAAATTGCATCCTTTCAAGATAACTTTGATCAGCTTTTGAGCTACTTCAAAGTATCTTGAATTGGTGTTCCAGTCTCTGATTCTTTTAAACAATAATGTAATCTGATCGAATGCTAGCCCTTTGATAGTCTTCTCCAAAGCGAAAGATCCAAGAACAGATTCTGGGTCTTCGTTGGTAGAAATGGATGCTTTTAAGACTTTGTACAGTTTTATAGGCTCATCTAAAGTTAGCGCCAAAAGGAAAGCATTATTCCAGTCTTTACTGGAGACATAATTCGCCAAAGACTGCTCCTGTTCAACACGGGCTTTACGGTTCTCCTCTTCCTCTTTCAAAGTTGCATCGGTAACGTCTTCCCAGAAACTGAACTTTCCATCTGCATCTGCTGTAACGAAATTGAACCCGTCATTCTTTAAACATAAAGCCCAAATTCTATTGTCATGGTTGTCAAGCGTCTTGATACATTCACCAGACGACTTATCCCAGATCTTGATTAGTCCATCAGCACCAGTGGTAACGATCTGGTTGTTCTTGTTGAAGAAGTGACATCTCTGAACAGAATTGGTATGTCCCTCCAGAGTTTTCAAACAGGTGAAATTCTGCAGAGACCACACCTTACAGGTTTTATCTCCAGATGCCGTAACGATTAGTTTGTCGTAGAGACAGAACTGTATGTCCCAAAGACCACGCTTATGACCCTTGAGGATTCCAACAGTCTCTCCAGTATCGATGTGCCACACTTTTGCGGTCTTGTCATAACTTGCAGTCGCAAAGAATTGATCGTTGGGTGCAACATCAATAGCATTGATTTCCTTTTCATGAGCTCTTCTGGTGAATTCAGAAACCTTCACAGCTAACGGTTCTTCCAGTTCTTCTATGTCTCTTTCAAAATGCTTGGGAAGCTTCCATTTCTTGATGGTTAAATCAGTAGATGCTGTT